AATGAGAATTGAGCCTGAAACGCAGTTACGACACGAAAAAAAGATTTTGTTATAAGACATTGTCTTTTCAGGCATTGAAGATGCAGTCAGTTAAAACAGTTTTTGTGCACTCAAATAAAAAAAATGACAAGGAAATAGAGTGTGTTAATACTTGCAGTGACACAAAAGTGATAAATATAGATAGCTTTATCATCTCAGACTTTTTGAATATATATGACTGGAGAAAGGTGGTGCCATTGCTTTTAAAGGTGAAGAATTGCCGTTGAAGCTCAGTTCATTTTCCTGTTTTTAAGGAATAAGAAGTCCTTAATTGATCCTTCTCTAAGCCCCGCCCCTTGCTGCTGCGCCATCGAGCTGTCAGAGCTACGTCACCGTGAAACCGTGGAGGCTAGTCTACAGATCACAGTGTGAAAGTGAACTACTTCCAACCTCTCCGGGTAACGAGTATCACTACAACACGACGTTTAACCGTGACGAGCTCCAAATCCACTCAACCAGCCTGAACATGAAGAAACTTTAAAACGATTGCATTAGAATATTTAAGATCATTGTCAAAACGCTTCTGCTCTGCATCATCACGCTCGTCACACAGCACGATGGGCGTGTTAATTTGCTAAATGTCACCATGTTGTAGTACACCTGTATACAAGCATCTGTATCTGTGATGTTTCTCTCCTCCTTTATTCAAGTCCTTCCTTTTAATTCGCTGTAGTATATTTACAATGTTTTAAATCTTAGTTGATCCTTTCAAAGTTGGCTTATGTTTTAGTTACAGGTTCACACCAAACCATGCTGCTGTGTTTTAAAGAATTTGAACATATTCTCCATTCATTCCAACACAATATGAAACTTTGCCTTTTAATTTAACTATTTTTTGGTTAAATTGACCTCTATATTTTTGCCATTTATGCGTTACGTCAAAGGGTTTTTCGTTTGTTCAGCGCCTGCTTTTGTCCAGAGTGACTTCAAATAAGTTCAACCCAAAATTCAACCCCCGTAGAAAAAAAACGAGTCATTAAAACCTGGAGTGTATCCTTCCCACACGCACAATTAATAGGTTCAGTGAAAGTTTTCCCATCCATCTCCATTTAAAGCCCATTACCAACCAATGATTCAATAATGGCTGCCTGGAACATAAAATAAATAACCCCCCTTGTGTTTATGTGATTTCTAATTACTAGTAAAGTTCTTCAAAGTGTATTTAAGGTAAGATGTTGCTCATGATTGAGAAAAAAGAAAAAGTTCTTTGCATAAACATAAAACTGAACTTGAGTCACTAGAGTTGAAAGAGAACTGTAGACACTCATCCATCCCACAGATCTCCACACCCTCGTACACTTTACGCTATTTTGGCTCCAGACTCGGCTGTTTCTGCTCACGTCTCTCTCATGCAATGATCGCTCTCTCTCTCTTATTCCCCATGCACGGAGCATGTTATTTGAATTTTTAAGACGCGACGGTTTCGTGCAATTTCATCAGCGCTAAAAAACTCGGAGATAAAATTAGCTCGGGTGTTTGAGGATCCAAGGTGACTGGTGATAGTCTTGTGTGGTAGTTGGCTAATTAAATCTCTTGATATGGCTTTCTATTCTTGGATTGGGTGACGCACAGAGTTGAAGACGTGCCTTTGAAAATGCCTGCGTTTCCTTGAGTGGGTAATTACAGAACATGTATTTATGGTATCGTGTTAGCGGCGGAAAACGTTACCGTATGTTTCATTTAACGAGTTTGAAGGATGTAACTTGTTAAAGGTGAGATAATGGCTTCATTAGTTTGTCATCTACTTTGTGAGGCATTAAGAGGACAATGTCTATTTTCGACTTTCCCTTTGACGGTCTTTAATAAGGATGTTGGATTCAACTATTGAGTGTGAGTTTGAAAGAACATATCTGAACAACAGAGAAGGCATTCAAGACTTTTCTGGGCTACTGTAGAAACATACAAACGTCTCATTGTAAGGTAACGAAAACAACAATTCTCAATTTCAGGTGATTGAGCACTAAAGGAAACAATATTGATGATATCATATCCCGTCTGCTAATAGATCCCCTTAAATGCTGCAACACTGTTCCTGTAATTTCTCAGCATTGTTACGTCAAAAGAGCCTTGAAACCACAGACTTTATATAAGAAGTGGACGTAGCCATCGTGACGTCACCCATTGGTTTGTGGACTTACGTTATGAAACCTTGAGTTCGGCATTTTCGTTGTTGCCATATAAGTGGCCATATTTGGACGGTGGAGGAGTGACGTAGAGACGCCGTATACGTCTCTGGTAGCGGCAGCGACCTGTCAATCACAGTAAGCCCCGCCCTAAAGCATACTCTGCTTTATGGTCTATTTGACTCTAAATGGACCATAATTTACAAAATGAACATCATGCTGTATTGAAGAAGACTTGAAACTAGAGATTGAGACCATAAACTCATGTTTACAATGTTTACTGAGGTAATAAATCAAGAGAGAAGTAGAGTCATTTTCTCATAGACTTCTATACAACCAGAGGAGTCGCCCCCTGCTGGTCAGTAGAGAGAATGCAGGTTTTAGACGCTTCCTCACGCTTCAGAACCGGAGGTTGCCGCCTGCTTTAAACAAACTCCAAACCTCCATACATCACATTTTCATGATTTAATACCTGTAGAAATAGAAACCAAATAGTAATCTCACACTCAGTAATCACATTACTGTTATAGCTTCCAAACGTTGCTGCTTTACTGCCCCGTATGTTGGGTTTATTTTAACCATGACCACGATCGTTCCCTGACATTAACCAAGTGGTTGTTATTGTAACCATATTGAAGGGTAATTATATGCACATCACGTAGGTGCAAGGCTATCATAAATATATATACTGTATATATATATATATATATATAAATATATATATATATATATAAATACATGAATAGTTCTATTTTCTTTCACAGACTTGTAAAAATGTAGCAGTGGTTTCTCCTACAGAATTACATTATTTTCTCCCGGATTACGGTCGCAGTTTAAAACACGTGATCATTGTCGTAAACAAAACTAAACGAAATGACTTGTTCATGATTAGGCAACACAACTAGTTTGTTATGTTTGGTAAAAACACAACATCCTGTGTTTCTTTGACCCCACAGGGTTACAAACAAACACAATCTTGGAGAAAATCTGTTTCACTCAAACGTAATTGACAGTTTCGTTGTAAAGGAACGTCATCATTTACGGACCGAGAGCTGTCAGCCAAACAAATGCACCCAAAACATGAACTCAGGTAGGGATTCTTTCAGCTGCCGCCTTACTCCCGACTTTGTTTTTGTGGAAGTGACCGCACTCTCCAGTCCATTAAGATATGATCCAGGATCTTTTATCAACACCGATAAGAGCCACACATTTTGGGCTCCATCAGTCTCATGAGAAAGCTGCAATGTGCCCAAAGGCTTGAAAACACTTCTTGCAGGTGTCAGCACCTCCAGCCACCAGACTACAGTATGAGATATAGCCTGTTCTCATAATACCAGTATTTTATAATATATTCATGCTTTTTGTTGTTGTTGCTATTTTAATAACGACACAAAATCAAACAGCACTAACGGCTGCGGCTGCAGAGCACTTCAGTGCAGCTGCAGGCTCTATTGTGTCCTTCTAGTTAATTGCAGACTAAGTCCGATGCATTGCTGATTTCACTCTCGCAGACCTACAGCCCCGTCATCTCACCGCGACGTGCCGTCGTAATGTATGATCTATGGCCCTTGTTAAAAGTATTGACATGAGTAAAAGTGAAATATGATCTGACGGTGATATCGCTCGAGGCAAAAGTGGCCACACGCTGAAAGACAGAACAAAGACAACGTGCAGCCTGCGTTGAAATTATTTTAATTTATTCTTAATGATGATTACATGACTCTAATTATGGTTATTCTTGCTAAAACAGGCTTTAAAGAGATTAAAGTTGGTGTTTGAAATAAAAAGCTATGATGACAGTGAGTCAATGTGATTTCATTTCTTGTAAAGAAACAAGGAGTAGCTGCTGCTTTATGTGTAATGAGCCTACTGTAGCGCTGCCCTTACACAACCTCTTGACGTCTCATCTGATGTCTCTCTTTGAAGCCTGTAGGAATCTGTTTTTGGTTTTTTTTGGCGCGCCTCTACAAGGACTCGCTGTAATTATGTTTGCCTGTAACGTTCAGGGAGAATGAAGTGCAAGCTTTAGTTGGAGTTTAGATTATGAGGAGGAAAAAGTAAAGAAGCCTCTGACTCATCTGGCCGCCTCAAATCTTCCCACACAGCTCCAGGAGGGCACGAGTTAATGCTCTCAACTCATTTTCATGATGATTTTAATCAAACAAGTTTAGGGTTTTAATTTGTCACCAAAGTAAAACAAAATTATAATACACCAGTATTTTGACTTCAAGAAGTGCCTAATCAGATGGGTTTTTTTCTTATTATATTTAGCAGCTCATTAAAATTTGTTGACAAGGACGACTTGTGAATAGATTAGTTTAAAATATACCAACAACAATGTGCTTAAAACTGAGGGAACATGTGGCTCCCGCATGTGTTTGAGAGAGTTTGTGTGTGTCATGTCAAACTAAAGGATGGATGTAAAGAGGAAATAAAGAAAACGCTCCTGACTTCTCGCTGACATCAAACATCGAACACTTAAAAGGAGCCAGAGGAGCTTTTAGTGTGAGAGGAGGGGACCCCACCCCCATCTGCAGCTTTCTGCCTCCAATACCAAGTCAATTAACCAAATGGCAGTCGCAATTAATTAACTCGGCAAACACAGTGATTAAGGAGCTGCCAATCAACGGAGTGGGAGTGGTTTAAGTCATGCGGATTTAGAAGTAATGACTTTCTGGCTTTTCATGAATGCAGGGAATTTAAAAATACATGCACTCTGCATTAAAGTGGATTCATGTTCTGTTAAACGCAGGTAGATTCAAATGTAGTTCAAAGATCTGACTCCCTGAAGACAGTCCCAAACTTTTCAAAATAAGAGCACTTATTCGGGGCCCTTACCGTGTTTCTCTGTCCGTTGGTTCCTATTGGTCCTCTGAACACCCCCTTGATGCTCCTCAGCTGTCCGTCACGCAGGTGGGTGGAACTGATCACAATGTAGTAGCACGCCATTGCATTTCACTGGGTTTCGTGGACTTAAATGTCTATCTGGACTTTTGAAGAAAAGAAAGAAAGTCTGCTTCTTCTTCTTTCTGGCTCAAGTCTCTCCGGCTCTCCTTATTGTTGGCTCTCCTCTTGTTTTATAAAGTAGAGGAGGGACAGAAGAAATAAGAAAAGGAGGAGTTTCTCCCCTCCTCTCCTCCACCACTGCTCTGATTTATTCCCTCTCTTCTCTAAGTTTTTGAATGTTTCACTCTTCCTTCTCTCCCCTTAGCTTCTGTCTCTTTTTAAATATTTCACCCTCTTTCTGCTCTCATCTTCTTGTTGTTGTCTAACTGCTTTTTTAAATTATTTTCTCAAAAAGAAAAGAAAAAAATCTTGCCTCCCTCTTGGTCTCCCTTTTAAATATTTCTCCCCTTAAGTCTTTTTCTCTCCATATGATTTGCTCCCATCTTTCATTCATCAATCTTTCCTTGTCATTGACTCCCTCCCTCCCTCTTCCCCTCTCTCTCTCTCTCTCTCTCTCTCTCTCTCTCTCTCTCTCTCTCTCTCTCCCTCTTTCTTGCTGAGTCGAAATTTCTTCCCGAAATCTCAGCCTCTCATTGATCAGTCTTGCAGTTCCTCTTAACTATCTCCCGTCCGCTGCCTCGCTCTCCACACTCCGCAACCTCTCCACAACCCTCCCTCTTCTTTGTCTCTGTATCTCCCCTAAGTGTAAGGGAGGGATACTTTTTGTTTTTTTAATTCTTCCCCCTTTTCTCTCACTCTCTCCCCGTCTCCTCTGCCTTTGTTCCTCTCCTCGTCTCTGTTGTTTCCTCTCCTTGTTAGTGTGAAGAAGAAGAAGAAGAAGAAGTACTCAGTCTTCTCCTCCTCTCTGTCAGAGCCGGCGTGCAGCTTCCTCCTCAGATGCTCCGCTCGTCTCCTCGGCTGCGCTGCATGTGTCCTCTCTCCTGCCTCCTCCTCTCTGCTGATCTCTTGCTCCGTGGCCAGCAGAGTGGTTTGCTCCTCAGTTACCCGCGGTTACCATCTGCCCTTTTAACGCATGGAGTGCTGACGCTTGCTCTCTCCTCCCTCCCTCCCTCCCTCTCCATCCCTCCCTCTCCTTCTGTCCATCTCTCTCTCTCTCTCTCTCTCTCTCTCTCTCTCTCTCTCTCTCTCTTTCTCTCTCTGCCTCTTGCTGTCTTTCTTCTCTCTTTAATCATCTCCCTCTCTCCCTTCCTTCCCTCCTTTTTCCTCTCGAGCCGAAGGAGACAAGCTCCACCTACTGGTGAGCAGGAAGCCTGCAGAGAGGAGAGAGGGGGGAGTAAAGATGGAAAGGGAGTTCTTTAATACCACCCATCTGTGGAAAAAAACTGTGTTTTATCAGGCTTTACATGGAAATTAAATTAAATGGGATTATACAACCACGGAGCTGCTGGTGATTTAGTGTCTTGCTCAAGGGCACTTCAGCTATGTCAGTTTAAATCTGGCTCTCCTGCTGTCATGATGGTCTTTAACTAGAGAAGAAGAAAACACAAATACTAAACAGAGAGTCAAATAGAATATATGGAGGCTCATTGACGCCAAGAAAAAAAGAGTGAGGCATGAAAAAACTAGAAATACTCACAGTAAGTCAAACTTAGTATTGATTTAGTAATTTAATAATTTCATGCCCTTTTTTTGACAATTAAAAATTAAAACTGTCGTCATGGGAAAACAACAAAAGCACAAAACAACCTGTTATTACTTTCTTTACAACAAAGCGTGTGACTTTAACTTTCCTAAACGTAACCACATCATTGGCAGATCAAAAGTCATATCAACTCAGTACATATACAACTTATCTTCTCACTTAACTTACTACACTTTCACAACAACAAATCTACCTTTTCATGCACACTATTCTGAATTGTATCAGCGTAATCTAAACAGCTTATTCCATTTGGATATTCCCTGTTGTATTCCCAATTTTCCAGTTAAAACATGTGGAATATGTCGATATTATTCTGGTTTTAGGAGCGTTCTTTGTACATGTATAGAGCACATTCTGAATATGTGTTTGAGTTTTTTTTTTATGACCCACGGCCTCTCGCCTGTTTGACGGGTGCAACCACGGGAGCAACATGACTGCAGTTGGAAATGGAGGAAAATGTACTTCATGTAAATCAGTGTTTCCCAAACTTCTTATTCTGGGAACCTATTTTCTTTTTTTAAATGTCAAACCATGAGAGGAGGGAATTTGCACCTAAATGAACATTTCTGACAACTAACTGATATCATCTTGAACAGATAAACCCGCCATGTAGAAGAGATATAAGTTTGTTTTTTACGTGTTGTTGAAAACATGTGCACACATTAAATACTTTATAAATGAAACCAAATAAAAGCTTTTAGGCGGAGTTAACAGGTTATCTCATTGTTGTCATTTCCTCTAATCAGTAAAATGTACATTAGCCGTTCATATTAGATTCAATGTTGTAAGTCGGCTACAATTATCAGATAAGTACGAACATTCAGGCTCCCCCATGTGGCCCGAAGTTGAACTGCAGATATACATTTTAAATAAAAGATTATGGAAGAAATTCTGCTTATTTATTTGGCGATCCAAATAAAATCTCCTGTGACCGAGTATTTGGGAATTTAAAGGACATGTAGCTGAGGAACGAACGTCATGGCGGTGTTTTACGTTATCGGAGAACAAGTCTGCATGTCAACGTGGGAAATATTCATTTGCATTAGTCATGTAAGCAGCTTAGAAGGAATATTTTTCTTTCTCGGAATAAGAACAAAAAAACTAATATTTTGTGCACGTAAACGTCATCTCAGTCACTTTTTGAGGAGGAGCTTCTCACTCTGGAATCACTGTTGTCAGCTCAGCTGTGACCACATGAACCTGATCCACATAAGACCATGATGAGATAACTCTGTGTTCCCGTTGAGCTGTGAGTCGACGTAACAGCTCAACGGGAGCTGAGCTCGAGCCACAGACTGAACATACTCAGTCAGTCAGAATCAAACATTATGAATTGAGACGCTTGGCTGAGAAACAAAGCACATAATCAGTGACTCCTAATCTTTGAACCCAACCGAAGGGAAACAATTCCGAAATCGGCAAAGTGATTTGTAATTTCCACCTCTACAAGCAACACAAGTGGTTTGCAAAGAAATACCCAGCGGTAACCCAATTATCTCAGCTAAATGCTTTGAAGTGAATGTGAAGAGAGACAGAGGGAACAAAAGAAAACGTCCATTACAATCATCATGCATCGCAATAGAAAAGCTGCATTTTCATATAAAAAGATCAGTATGTCAAAGAGGAACCTGGAAGTAACTCTGCAAAAGGCAACTGCTCATCATTCTGAAATCAAGTTTTACATGTTATTCTCAAAGTAGTTTGAATAATGTGGTATCTGACCGACTGATTGAGACATATTCGTCGTGATAAAGGATCGGATTCGTGGACGAAGCTCGGAGCAGAGCCGGAGGAGCTTCTGTAGTTCAGGTCACTGTGTTCAGCAGCAGATCTAAGCGGAGCTCCGGAGATATAAAGCAACATGTAACGCTTTTAAAAACTAATAAAATAATCCGTTCTCTGCAGGAGGCCAGTAAGTAGAGGGGAGACACTGTGTCGGCTCTGCGCCAGTAAAACGCTGACTCACACAGAGAATCAAAAATATCAAGATGGTAAGAAATAAAGTCTCCAGGTCCCTAAACTAGAGAGGACATTTTGGGTGAGTCAAGTATTCCAGACGATTTACTTTTCAGCTCAAAAGCTAAATCTGACGAGTTATTCTACCTTCGTTTATGTATTTATGTCATTGCCCTGCAGCTTTTTGTCCTCTGAGGATGAAAACGCAGGAATTAGAAGCAAATTTCTCCAAGAAAAGGAGGTTTGTCTTTTGTTTTTTTTCAACACATCTAATATTCTCTTATCTCCCTCTTATCAATCCTGCCTCAGCATGTAATCCAGTTCGGTCACTATATTTCTCTTCTGGAAATGTCGATCTGAGCGCTCTGATTCAATCAGAACAATCATAAATTTATTCCAGCAAAACTGGATTGAACTTTCCCTTACAGAAAAGTTTGGATGTCTGAATATTAAAAGACTCGCAGTGTATCTTGAAGGTGTGTTTTCAGGCATTTAGGACATTTCTCTATTTCCAAATTCCCCACTAAAATAAGCAATACAGATGAATTATGGATGTGTGCCTTGTATAGAATTTATTAAAGCTCATGTGCTCGTTCCATCTTATTGGCTACTCAAAATTCAGAACAAGCAAAACAAAACATTTGGATCTTAATTGTGTACATGACAACAAGAAATAAAGCAAGTCTTCACACCTTAAAGCAGTGATTCTCAAAGTGAGGTTCGGGGACCCCCAGGGGTGCAACAAACTGTTCCTGCTGCTGCTTAGCTTGGCTTATTAGCCAGCTAGCTAGCTAGCGAGCATGACTAATAGGTCCACATCGTTAAGCAACGTATCCTCATACAACAGTTTGTATAAAATCTTACCAAAAGGTACTCCTCATTTTTCATGCGTTTTCGTATGAAAGCCAGCAACACGTGTCAATTCCCAGTCGTTACATTCATACAATCTTTTCAAAATAAACATCCATCTTCACAGGAAACAACAGTTTTAGGTTTAGGCAACAAAACAACTTAGGTTTAGGAAAAGATCTTAGTTTGGGTCAAGATAACTACAGAAGGGATGTTTCTGAAGTTACGTGATAAGAAACGTGGGGAACAAACAGTGATCTCATTGCTGAAAGAACGGAGTTTGTTGGACTCATCCACCCCCCCTGCTGTCCGCTTTGTGTGGGCTTTTGTGGTCTTTGTACTTCCTCGTTCACGATTACGTGGATAACATACAAAAACATTTTGTGGGATATCTACAAATTAAGGCCTATTGCTTTACGAATGCTGGATGAGACAAGCCTGCGTCAAGTGACGCTTCGCGCAAACTAGCTAAATTGAGAAAATATGCCGATTGTTCGAGTTTGGATCTATTAAGAACAGCGACGGGAGACCAACGTGTGTCAAGTGTGTTCAGGTGCCAGCAAACGAAGCAATGAAGTCAACCAAGCTAAAGTGACATCTGACGACAAAAAGCCCGAAACATCAGGGCAAAACAAAATGGTATATTAACATGATTCACATTAAATTGTGTTTCTGTTTATCATTCTCAACAAGGTCTGAAGTATTTAGGTTTAAAGGTTTTAGAATACTATTCGCTCCAATGGCATCTAAGAATACAAATACATGCATATAATACATATATACCTTAATCAGTGTTTTGATTATGACGGGGTCCTTGGAAAATTGTTTCGCCTGTAAGGGGTCCCTGGCCCCAAAATGTTTCACAACTCTTGGCACCCCACATACAAACTGACCAGGATGTCTTATTTTCATGTGTATTGGTAGTCTTCTCCAGATACCAGATACACGTACACAAGCACAGAACAAGTGAGTTTGTCCCGATATGTCGCCTTTAAAGTCAGACACTTTGGTCATCTTGTTTAAGGCCTTCCAACAAATGACTCACTTCTCCCTCTCCTGAAGACTGTCTCCCCCCCCCCCCAAGTCATAATCAATCGCTTCAGGAAGTGAGATGATGTTATTAGATGGAGAGAAAGTGGAGAGGGAGACTGACAGTCAACATTGGTTTCTTTTAACCACGTGTTTATTATTTTAACCATGAAGACAAAATGTCCCCTAAACTTAGCAAAGCAGTCATTTTAACTCAAACCACGATGTTTCCCTAAAAGTAATCGACCTAAACAAACTTGAACCATCATCATCATCATCACGAAATACGACTTTG